TGTCCTTGGCCCTTCGCTGCAGCAGGGCAGCGGCTGACAGCCCCGGCCCTCCTCTCCGCAGAGTACCAATATGGCCTTTGGGAAGGTGACAGAGGAGACTGTCTACACTTGCACCGGGCATCCACTCAAGACAGACATTGCCAACATCCTGGACTGGATGCTGAATCAAGACTTCACCACCGCCTACAAAAGTATCCTTTCTGGTGACTGCCACTGGGTTCAGGTGGCAGCGTGGCCCGGGAGCCCAGGCTGCAGCCGGCACCGGCACCTCCACCTCCCGGGTGAAGGGTGTCAGCTGGTGGGAAGCAGGGGTTGCGTTCCCTTCTCTTCCTGAATGGCTCTAGCCCATGTGGAGCTGCATGTGGCTTCTGTGTTCACAGTTAGGCCGTGGGGTGAAGGAAGCAGTGGTGCAAGCGAATGCATTACCTGTTTGCAGTGAAATGAAAAGCTACAGGGAATGGTGTATGTCTTAAGGGGCTGTTTGTTGCACATGCTGAGAGATGGGGCTGTACTTTTTAGAAAAGCCTTAGTGAAGATAAAATGGGAGAATTAGGCCTGTGTGCAGCTTGAAGTGGACGGGCATCTGCTGGGATGAAAAGCCCTACTTTGAAGTCACTCATCAAGGGCTGGGCTTGAAGCACTGTGCCATGATCTGGAATGGTCCCTTCACCTTAGCTGTACCTCTCTAGATATCATGGAGCTGAAAACTCTGAAGGGCTTGGCGCTGCATGACATCCTGACCGAGGTTCACTTGTTTGTGCACAGAGGTAACTGGCCCCTGTATGGAGTGGGAAGGAGGCATAGCTTTGAGATGGCTACAAGGGTGTGAACTCTTCACTCCTGAGCAGAAGCAGGAAGACAGTGTCTGTCCCTTAACCTTGAGCAGTTCTGAATTGCTCTGTTCCTTTTTAATCTGGAGCTGCAGCGGGGAGCAGACATTAACCCCTAGAGGCTGAGTTTCCTCAAGTGAGTAATATATTTCACTTTTCACTCTTGTTACACGCTCCCCACACCGGGGATCGAATTCTGGGCCTGTACACATGGCCTACCACTGGGCTGCATCCACAGACCTTGTTTCTGGGATCTACACCCAGGGCATCCTAAGCACAGACCATACCCCCAAGCTGCTCTCTAGGCCTAAGTCACATTCTAAGATCACCTCTCTTAGAGGGGAGAAGATCTGTGTTTCTGTAGACTAGGCAGTCTTTAGGAAGCTTTGTTTAAGTTCCTGATTCCTGCCTTCCATTTCTGGGATCAATCTAAACCTGGATAGGACCTGGGAGCTGCCCCAGATGATTCAGTTGGAGTGAGGCGGAGGTGCAGGGAGCCAGAAGCCAGCTTTGTGAGGCTCCCCAGGGGGACCTCCATATAGCCTTTTGGAAGCTTTTCTTCTAGCAGCTGCCTCTAAAAGGAGAAGCTCTCTCAGGCTGCCAGTGCTGTGTGCCTTTGTGGAACCTATTGCTTAAGTTTGGCCTTAACACTGGGTAGCATGAGCTCCAGTTAGTGTGTAGCTGTCCCCCATCGTGGACAGTGTCAACTTGTCCATGTTCTTATGACCACAGGGGATGGGGATGTGTTTATGTTTGAGTGTTGGTGGGGGGGGGTTGTTGGTGATGGAACTCATCTGCTCAGGCACAGCCAAGCACTCTTCCTGACCTGCACCCCAGCCTGTGTGCTTACAGCCACACTGTGAACAAAAGTCACAAAAGAGTAAATGAACACCAGTGGGACCTGCACCAGTCTCAGCTTACTGGTCTGGAGATCTCCAATGGGCCTGCGGCTCTGGTCACTACCTACCTGATGCTCAAGCTTGTCAGAAGTCGTGTGTGTGTGATGCTTGAACCCACGCAGTCTTTCTTCTGTGGTTGTTGTTTTATATTAGAAGTGACCACTCTTACTCATTTGGTTTTTTCTTTCAGTTGACTTTCCATCTTCAGTTCGGATACATTTATTGACCAAAATGGCCGACATTGAGTGAGTGTTTTCCCAGTTTCAACTCTTTGGCTCCCCTACCCCCTTTCCTGCTGTATTCTTGTTAGTTTCAGCTTGCATGGCTTCAGCTTCCCTGCCATTCAGACATGGGGTGGTCTAGTTTGGGATAGTGCCAAATGCAATGTGAGAAGACTGTGCTGCCACTGGAGCATAGGGAAGCAGTGCAGAGTGCAAGCAGAGAGCGGTTCCTGTCCGAGAGTTAGCTTCTGACTGCCTCAAGGTGGGCATGCAGGTTGTTTGGGGGTGGCCAGCTACGCTGCTTAGTAAGGCACTGTGACATACAGGAGCAGAGTGGAGGGTAAGCACAAACTCAATTTTCTGCTTTGCCCAGCATAGTAAACAATGTCATTAGTCCCTAGTGCTGCTGGCAGCTGCCATTTAAGTGGACAGTGCCCTGGGCTCCAACTAAATGCCAGTATCACAAGCTCCAGTAGGCTGTCAGTAGCCATGTAGACAAATTAAGTCATTTTTCTCTCACTACATTGGAAGTGATTTTGCTGTTAGTGGCTGGGCATTTAAAAGTGACAAGATGAACTGCCAGTGTCCTGCTTTACTGCACTGCCACAAACCCCAGCTCCCTCCTGCAATGCCACAGCCAGATGGAGTCTGCAGCAACTCCTATCACAGTTCCTAAGCCCCATCACATGTGCTCCGTCCTCCCTCTGTAGAGAGAGGGTGGAGTACCATTCAGAACCTGCTGCTATTAGTTTTTATCTGTTCTCAGCAGCTTCAAATGGCTGAGTGAGTGTTGGGGGGAAGAAACTGCTAGAGGACACAGATAAGTGTTTTCCAGGGCATGTCTAAGCAGCAGTACTCCCATGACAGGCCACAGTAGCTTTCACAGTCTGCTGTAGTAGGCAGGGCCTGGATGCTTTATACTCAACTTGGTGGTTGGTGTCTTCAGGTACAGACTTTCTGTTGGCACCAATGAGAAGATACAGCTGAGCTCCCTCATTGCTGCTTTTCAAGTCACCAGAGACCTGATAGTCACAGAGGCCTAGCTACTCCAAGGCCTGCTTGCTGGTCCTGCCTCAGGCCCTTCATTGACTGGAGGACAAAGGATGTGCTGACGTGGACCACTGAATAAAACCAATCACAGAAGTCTCCAGGGATTTAGGCAGCGCTCTGGCTGCTTGGAGCAAGTATTTACAGAGCAACTTTAATTCGTAACTATCCACACTGCTTACCTTTTATAGGGGAGAACAAATCCCCCACCTCTTGGGGAAGGCTGCTTTAAAGTCAAATTGGCCTTACCTCAGTTCTACAGTGTAATGTTCAAATTGAATATGCTTTAATGTTTTCCAGTTCGAGGTCAACATCTCCAGACCTAAACTTCTGAACCTGCCCTTTCTTACTTTCTGTCTCTACTTTAAATGGGTGCTAGTAGGTTTCCAATCAAATATTCTGTTACAAACTTTCAAAATCGGTCTTTGCCCAAAGTGACAACATGCCTGTAACCTTAGGCCTCAGGAAGCCTATGTAGAATTACTAGCCAGTTGCAGGCCAGCCTAGTGAGGTGAGCTAGACCCTTCTCAGAAAGAAAGCACTGGTCTTTCTCTCTTGGAGGGTTACCAGCAGGTTCCAAATTCTATTGTGACAACAGAAAACACACTATAATAATGCAGTTGGCCTTCAGACTGGGCCTTTGTGGCCAGTGGCTGTATAAACCTTACTTGTTGGGGAGCGATGGGACCTTGCAAGTGTTCCTGTCCGAGTTGCTGGTCTATTTATACCACGTCCTTCATGGTAAGAATAAAGCGCTTGCTTAGGGTTCTAATTTGTGCTGGCCTATCCACTTGCGTTTCTTTTAAGGCTGGTGCCCCAGAACAAACTCTTTGAGGCTGTTCCTCAAAGCCGTCAGCTTGTTGCCAACAGGCCTCTGTACAGCAGGAGAGCATGTGCATTCACTTGAGACCACACTTGGCTGGGGCTAGGTAAGGGGCCACAGCTCTGGTAGCCGGTGCACCATGGCTGACCTGCTGTTTAGACTAGCTCTGTAAGATGTGCCTGAGGTGGGGACATTTCAGTGTGTGCTATCAAGGGAGGAATGGTTTCCTTGTCCATGGAGAGCTTGCTCCCCAAGTCGTCGAGCAGAGTCCGAAGCTGCAGCCCAGTGTCTCAGCCACATGGCTAAGCTGCCACTGCTATCCCGTTCCCCCTTTGTGCTTGTTTTAAAAGATTTTTTCTTTTTCTTAATGGAAAAAAAAAAGAAACAGAGACAGGCTTTTTTCTCTCTTTTCTCCCTTCAATGAAAGCCTCATTTTACAACATTTTCTTCAAATAATAGAGGAGACTCCTCTATGCACACTGTACAATGTTAACACTGCCTCCATAAAGCATCAATTAAGAAAAGCCAAAGAATAAGATGTTTTCTTTTAAAATAATTTAAAATATATTAACTTTCCTAAGGCAGATTTTGTGTGAGGCGTCTTCAATAGGTAGCCTGCTGCCGCTGGTGAGGAGCGGTGCTTGGAAGGGACTGTCTGTTCAGGCAGTTGGAATTGGAGGGTAAATCCCGTGAGGTCAAGCATCAGAGACAAACGTAAGTGACAGCGTGAGCCAATGACTCCACTGACTCACATAACTAAGACATGGCTTCACAACTGGGCCACGTAAGAACTCTGGTTGTTAAGAGACCATTGAGAAAACACAGTTGTACCTTAATATCTGCTGAGAAAATACAAATAAATATGATGCGGATAAATGGCCATCTGACTGTCATGCAGTTGAGGAACACCTCCTCGTATGATCTGATGTACTCGTTTGTCATTTCCTACACATGCACACCAAAGTTTAAAGGAAAATAAAAGCCAGTACTAGTGTATTGGTGAGGAGCACAGCCCAGTCCACCTGTAGCTGAGTGAAAAACCAACATCAAAAGTTCCTGCGACCAGAGCAGGGGAACTTCAAACCATGCAGCTGCCGTCCGGAAATGGCAACAGGTACTACGCTACGTGGCAGGCACTCCCCAGTTAAGGGTGTGCGGACTTCGCCACTACCAGAGAGACTCTGGAGCCTGCTTCCTTTTATTACCCAGACAACATCCACAACTGCACTTGGCTTCAACACAACTGGACTGACAAAGGCTGCTCACAATGGACGAGGACGAGGTAAGGCTGGCACCACGTGGGGTCACTCAGACCTACTTGCACATGCCATGGGGAGAAAGGGCCACAGCTGGTCCAGTGTGATCTGACTGGCTCCATCTTAGCCAGCCCTTCGTTTGGTTCTGCGGCAGGAGACAGGGTGGCTGGCACTGCTAGAAAGTCCTGTACGTGAGGAACTCTTTCATCTTCTTAGGGATTGGCAGTGCTAAGACTTGGTACGTCGTCAAGAAACTTCGGAGAGCTTTCCTGCATAAGTGCTTCAGTGAGGACAGGACACGGGGAGCCGTCCAGAACTGGACATGGCCATCTCTTGTCCTGAAACAACAGAAACCAGGCCTTAGCAGGCCCTCAAGGGCCGTTTCCATTATAGCAGACAGTGGTGGTTCTGGTTTGACCTCAAGTGGGAGACTCCAGAAGCCAAAGTGCACCTTGACTGAGAAGGGCTGTAAACTGCTGTGTAGTGACCACTATGTGGTAGGCGCATTAGAACCCAGGATGTGGCCCACACCTGTGGTCCCAGCTGCTTTGTAAGATTAAAGCAGGATGACCACCCAAACCCAGGAATTTGAGGCTGGCCCAGGCAATATAGTGAAACTGTCCAAAACCCAAAACTACCTTTGATGAGCCAGGCGTGGTGGTGCACACCTTTAATCCCAGCACTTGGGAGGCAGAGGCAGGAAGATCCATGAGTTCAAGGCCAGCTTGAGTCTACAAAGTCCAAGACTGCCAAGGCTACCCAGAAACCCTGTCTCAAACCAAAACAACAACAAAAAACCTCTGAAGAGCCATCTCTGTCAGCACAGCACTCCTACATATTAGCTCAAAAGGAAAAGGAGGGACTGGGTACAGTAGACTGCTTGAGCAGGAGAAGGCCTGAGTTCACAAACACTGAAAATTTTAGAGATGTGCTCTGTAAAGTGGCCTCAGTTCTGTGGCTTCCCATATAAATTCCACATCACCTTTTATTCCTCTGTGTGGAATTGGCCATTCAGGGTGACAAACCATATAAAGATGTCATTGCATATACATTAATTACTAACATCTATAAATGACACAATGGCAGGATGGAATATTTTATTTTTATGTACCTTAGATTTTCTTAGGCAAGACTATTCTAGACACTTTCCTTCCTCAAACTCTTCATAGTATACGCCAGAGACACTGCTGCCCATCTGTTTAGTGCAGATACATACCCTGTGGCAATAATGCCACCATGTGGGAAGAATGTGCAGCAAAGACCATTGGTCATAGGTGCAAAGGCAACTGGAGCCTTCAGTTCCAGAGCCCAGATCCTGAGGAGCCTGGATGGGACAGAGAAGTTTACATGAGAGCTGAGCTAGAGGTCAGCAAGGAAATGCCTGTCATTACTTGCAAGGCAGCCGCATGAATTTCCTCCTTACCTGTCATCTGCCACTGTAGCAAGGTACAAGCCTTCAGGAGAGAAGCACACAGACCTCAAAGAGCTCATGTGGACATCACTGTCATCCATGGCAGGTTCAAGCGGGGTGTGACTATAAAGAAACAGCAGGTCTGGAATAGTGGTTACCCTCCCCAGAATCCTTACCAGCAAGGCAGCACACCAAATGCCCTAGCCTGTGCAAATCCATAGCATCTCCAAAATGGAAAACAAGGTCCCTCCAAGTGTCAGAAAGGTTCCCAATACTTCCTTGTGCTAATTTCTTTATGTAAAGTAGGTCAGCATTCACTTTAATGCCTCGGTGAAAACTCTTTTAAGTCTTTTTAGGCTGATCTGTGGTAATTATAGGACTACTATCATTTGCTTCAGAAACAACAGAAGCTAAGGGGAAAAAAAAAAAGTAGAACAAGCTTGTGAGGACAGGAGAATTTAGACTGGAGGTAACAGCTCTGCTCAGAGTTACTCTGGACCTGATAGTGGAAACTGTGGTTTCATATGACTTGAACAGAGCTCAACACTGAAAAGCACTCAGTCGACTGTGCTCTTCCATCCACAATGTCCCATCCTGCCCCAGACTCCAAGGTAAAGTGTATAACCCACAAGGTCCTTACTGAAGTGATCTCAGCCTCTCGCCGGTGTAGGGGTCCCACATAATCACGCTGGTGTCGTAAGAAGCTGTGACGAGCAAGGCAGAGTCAGGAGAGAAGTCGCAGGAGACAACACTGCTTTGGTGGCCTTCTAGCTTCCGGATGAGTGTGTAGGAGCGCATGCTCCACAGAAAGACCTGCAACAGCACAGAAGGATCTGTTGAGGGGCAGGAGCAAGGTGCATAGACACCAGAGCAGTGACAGGCAAAGAAATCCTCTGATCCTGCTGCTCAGCCAGGGAAGGTTCTCTCCTTTTCTATAGCCCTCCCAGGACTCATCATGCAGGTTTAAATAAGCACTTAAAAATGTGCAATGCATTTTAAAAGACAGCACAGGCCAGGCTAGCCTACAGAAGGCTGCCTACACAAAATTTCTCACTGCTTTCTGATCCCTGCTTGAGATAGTGTGGCAGTGTTAAGGAGACTTCTGCAGTGGTGGCTTGTTCCACTTGAAGCCAAGCACAGGATCAGGTATGAGCCTGTGGCCCAGTGGACCAACTAGCAAGTACCCTTCCCAGATGCTGGACACCTTGCTTAAGAACCCTGGGAATTTGCCCCGTAATTGCATCTGACCCCACTCATAACTTTAAACCTTGCTGAGAATCATCAACATAGGGTTTCCTTGTTGTCTTTGTGAAACTTAGGCGGGAGATGTAGCTCAGCAGGGAGGTTGCCTGACATTTCACAAAGCCCTGGGTTCCATCCCAGCACTGCATAAAATGGGCCTGGTGGTACAGGTAGGAGGATTAGGAGCTCAGGGTCATCTTCAGCTACATAATGAATTTGAGGTCAGCCTGGGCTATGTAAGACCCTGTCTAAGAAAACAAAGGGCAACACCTCACTTGCATGATCAAGTTCCTGAGCTCTGCCAAACAGTGACCCCCTTTAAATTGTCACATCCGAGGTCAGTGAAGTTGCACAAACAGAAACTACCTCTCCAGACTGCCCCCAGGCTCCAATACCTCTAATCACAACAGACCAGCACTATTCTTATCAGGGTTTGGACTCAAATTCTACTCACGTGGAATCAAACTGGAGAGATTCAAATTCAGAGGTCTGGGTGTGGGCTGTAGTTTTTAAAATCCTGGACTCCAGGGGGTGGGTGTCTGAAAATACTGCACTTTGCCATTCTGGAAAAGGAACCTCCCCCAGAGATGAAGCAACCACTTCCAAATCCTCCTCTCCATGGTCATATTCAAGGCTCCAGCCTCCAGACAGTTGTGGAGGGGCCAGAGCCAGGCTGCCTGCCTGCTTCTGCTGGGGCACACTGGCAGACAGACTCAGGCAACAGATGCGCACACTCACCACTGGAGGCTTACCGACTTCTCGCCAGCTGCAGAGCACAGCATGCTGCAGTCAGGGGAGATGGAGCAGCAATAAACCCACTGCAGGTGGCCAGATAATACCTGGATCTGCTTACCTGCCAGAGAAGAGCAGAGGGTGAATCAGTCCTCAGAACATAAGAGACCTAGTGTAACCATCTAGGTCTCAGGCCCAAAGACCCACATTCTAGTGTAGGGTAAGACTATATTTTAAAAACCTAGAAATCAAAGGGAAAAACAAGCACCTGGAGTCTGAGTGCAGCAGCTGAGAGGCCAAGGGAGCTCATTCCCTGCGGCTTCCTCTAATCTGCAGATGAGCAGGGCAAAGGTGCGCAACACAGAAGACAATTTTCAGGAATGCAGCACTCTAAGTGCTCACATCTGTCCAGGCGTGACGGCCTCCTTCCCCTATGGAACCCTGCTGAAGCCGGCACAGGGTGCAGTCCTTAGAGGCTGGAGCTCTAAGGTCAGATGGCCTGGTTCTGAGTGCCACTGCACTGTGTACAGTCAGGTGCTTGTGCACCATCTCTAGGCCTGGGCTTTCTTAAAACCCCAAGGCTGGCCCACAGGAGAATGAGTGAGTTAATAGGGAGTACACCTAGCATGTCCATCCCATGTGGGGTATTGCTTAGTGAAAACTGCAATATACAAGGGAAAAGATGAATAAGAGTCTAATTATGTGAAATGACCTCACCCAATGTGTGTGTGTGTTTGGGAATATGTTCACTAGTACAAACATATTATGGATGGAGATATCCTGGGTTCCTGACATGAGTTACCAATTGTAAGGGAAGTGTGAAAGACATAGAAAAGGGAGGGCAGGTAAGAATGGGGACATAAAGAGCTAAGCAAGAAACACAGTTTACAAGGTTCACTTGTACGTGTGGTTATAAATGATTAGCTTATGAGGGCCAACTGTGGTTTCTTTTTTTTTTTTTTTGTTTTGTTTTGTTTTTGTTTTTTTGAGACAAGGTTTCTCTGTGTAATCTTGGCTATCCTGGACTCACTTTGTAGGCTGGCGTGGAACTCACAGAGATCCATCTGCCTCTGCCTCCTTGAGTGCTGAGATTATAGGCGTGGGCCACCATGCCCATCTCTGTGGTTTCTTTCTACAGCAACTTGGCTGCCATAACTGGATGTATTATGGAGGTCAGGTTAGTAGGACAATGGCTGGAACCTGGTAATATATCCTGTTCTCTCTTCTCCTTGGAAAGCCCAACTTGGGACTGGAGAACTTGCTCAATGTTTAGAGCACTTGCCACCCTTGAAGAGGATCAGGTTTGGGTCCTATCATCCATATGGTAGCTCACAACCATCCTTAACTCCAACTCCAAGGGGTCTGACACCTCCTCCTGGCTTCTGTGAGTTCCAGGCACATGAGTGATGTGCATACATTCATTCAGACAAAACATTACATTCACATAAACTTTCAAAACAAAAAGATCCCCCTACCCCACCCCGAGAGCCCACTTTGTTCCATCCACTCTCCCTGTCAGCAAGGGACTACTGAATCTCCCCTCCAGTGTGCATCAAGCCTCTAATCTCAGCACTTGGGAGAAGGAAACACATTCTCTAATGAAGTCCAGAGCTAGCCTAGACCAAGCCACATGGTGAGAAAGTTCTACACAGAGAGCATGAACACAGCAGAGCTAGGCACAGTAGTGCACACCTTTAAATTGCAGCCCTTGGAAGGCAGAGGCAGGTGGATCTGTGAATTGAAGGCTGGCTTGGTCTATGCAGAGTTCCAGGACAGCTATGACTACATAGAGAGACTCTGTCTCAAAAATAAACCAGACCCCCTCCAGCGGGTCTGGAGCTGGTAGGTAGCCTAACTCAGGTGGGCCCAGACTGCTAGAGGCCCTTATTACGGGGCCCATTTTGGCTGCTTGTTTTCATGTTCCTGTTCCAGATAGAAACCATGGGGGTCTCTGAGCCAGTAGTTTGGATGAAGACACTCCAAACTCTTCTGTAACTGTTCTGTGGACCAGCACCCCATGCTCAGTCTGCTTAGAGGCATTTCTAACCTCTAGACACTGCAGGATCCCCCAGAGGATAATGCTCCTCTGCCCAGGAGCCCCTGGTCTGGAAGCAATCCTTTTGGGGGCTTCCTGAAAGAACTAAAGGTGTCCTTGTCAAGGAGGAAAAAGAGTTTATTGCCATCATTTTCTCACCGATAGAAAAGACAAAAAGAAACTCACTCTTGCAAGCTGTCCTCTGACCTCTACATGTAGGCTGTGGCATGTGTTGCCCACACACACCCTGGGACAGTAACAGTAAATTAAAATTTTAAGAAAGACTGTCTGTATTGATTATATAGTCTTATCAGTGCTGCCTAAACAAGACAGCATGGCAACTGTTTTCAGAACATTTACAGCAATTAGGGACTGTGAGTCCTCTGCAGACAGCTTAAAGTAGGGTAATGTATGGGTCTGTGTATGTAAGAGGCACAAGCACCCAGTTCTTGGTGTTCTGGGGGGGGGGTTCTTAGCATCTGCCCCTACAGGACAGCTGTACAGGGAACTCTGGAATTAAAACACCTTTAGCTCAGTACTTTATAGGCACAGGGTGGCTAAAAGAACATCTCAGAAAGGCTTGTTGGGTGAGATGGAGAAGGCAGGCAACCCCATCTAAAATGGCACTGGTGAGATGAGGGAAGCAATAAAGGACTGAGTAGCTCAGCCCTCTCTCCTACCATGTTTATTCAGGTCCCAAATTCGAAGAGTCTTATCCCGGGATGCAGAAACCAAAATCAGGCTGCCACTGGGTGTGAAGCTCAGATCTCTCACGACATCCTGGTGGCCAGAAAGATTTAGCAGCAGCAGCCCTGTAGGAAGCAGAAGCCCTTGGTCAGTGCAAGGTGAAGGCAGACTTGTCAGTTGCTGCCCAATCTCAGCCAATTGGTGGTTGTGGAGCCTGGGGGGCATGACCACATGTCATAAGTACAATGCCCTGGACAAGGACTAGCTAGAAAGCCCTACCTGTCTGCACCTCCCAAATCTTGATCTGTCCATCGTTGAGACCTGTGGCCAGGATCAGGCAAGAGACATCTGGCACTTGGGGATGGTGACGTGCCCAGAGTTTCTTGCTGGGTGGAGAGGGCCAAGGGCTGAAGGCCAACCCCCACACAATCTGGCCACAGTCCAGTGTCTTTTCCTTCAGGCTGCCCCGTCCTTTTGAGTCATTTTTGCTGCTTCGGCTTTTGGCTTCAAATCCTTTAGGGATGCTGGGCAAAGCAGACATTTCTGAATGAATCCACAATTGTAACCACATCAACCACCTTGCCAGCCCAAGACGCTCAATTCCTAGTAGCTACTTCTGGCATTCAGTGAATCTGGTAAGGCTTCAATTCCTTTTGGAGTTCATGGGACATGGGCTTGCAACAGCTCTAAAATTGGGTGACCTGCCTTGTGAGATAAGTAGATCACACAGCCTCCCGGGAGCCACATGCTTGCTCAGGAAGTTCTCTTGGGTTTTGGTCCTACCGAGAAGCAAACACTTTCCCCCATGAGAAAGTATGTACTGCACAGTGTAGGTTTAGAACCAGGACAGACAAAATTGGAACCTAAATACTGTCAATCTGCTGCTCTCATGCCCAACAAGCCCCCATCTCCAGCTCAGACACTCCCAAGGAGGCTGAAGTGAGCCCTCTCTTGCCACTACAGCCCATGTGGTGCCTAGTGATGTCCGTCCTCACATACTACACTCCAGTGATGATGAGGCTCCTCCACCTTCAGCCTTGATAGCACATCCCAAGGAACTGTATTAAAAGGCTGCAGCAGTAGGAAGGTTGAGAACCACTGTCCTACCAGAACCCGACTTCAGTTGAATTAAAGTTTCTTAAATCTGGGGCAGATGAGATGGCTCAGCAGGTACAAGAACATGCTGTCAGGCTGATAGCCCAAGTTCTATGCCTGGGACCAAGAGAGTGGAAGGACAGAACTGATATCTGCAAGTTGTTCTTTGACTTCACACATAGGTAACTTTTAAGTTTCTCAAATTTTTATTCTTGAAAGTAGTGTATGTTGGGCTTCAGGCCTTGGAGAAGCAGCTTAAGGTGCATTTTGAATTAATGCAGACCTGACCTCCAGGTTCTCCCAGCATTCCTCGGCCCCTACCTGCTGCAGGGCACGGCTGGCATACCCCTGCCCTCTGCCCTGAACTCTCCAGCCCAAGGGCTGGGCCTCCCACAGAGGCTCTTCACTATATACAGACATTTTAGTTAACCTCCCCCCCTTCTATTTTTGCTTTTTGTTTTTCGAGGCAAGGCTTCTCTGAGTAGCCTTGACTGTCTTGAACTCATTTGTAGATCAGGCTGGCCTTGAACTCACAAAGATCGTCCTGCCTCTCGATCCTGAGTGCTGGGCCCTCTCTTCTTTCTGCATTTCCCCCTCCTCAACTCCCTCTCTCTTCTTTCTGCATTTCTTCTCTCCCCTGTCTCTGTTGTCTCCCCCTGAATGGCCACTTCTCCAGCCCTGTTCTTTAGAACCACTGAACCCACGGAGAGCTGCTCCCAACAAACCCGCATTTATATACTTTAACTTGTCTTCAATTAGCTCATTTCACCACAAGAAAGATTCTTATCAGTGTACATGACTCTTGGTTGACACCGGGTAATCAATGACAAAAGCATTTCCTAATAGAAAGTGTAGGTGTGTAGGTGTGTGTATTGGGGGGCGGCTGTTATGCAGTCCTGCACTCACTGGGTAGACTACTTCCCTCTGCTTACTGAGTACTTGGACTATAGCCACACTTCACCATGCCTGACTAATAGGGTTCTTTTAAAATGCGTAACGCCGAGTGTGGTGGCCCACACCTCTAATCCCAGCACTTGGCATCTCTGGGAGTTTGAGGCCAGCCTGGGCTACATAGCAACTTCTAGGACAGCCAGGGCCACTCAGAGACCCTGTCTCTGAAAACCAAATGTATCAACATTCTGGGCTGAGGTGTAGCTCAGTTACAGCGGACCTTTTTCACACAGGCAAGGTTCTAGGTTGGGTCGCTAGTCTTAACAATAAGTGAATAATAAGCAGACAAAGATCAGACACCCCTAACAAGAATATGAATGATGTAACAATTACATTAACTTAGGAAACATAATAATGAAAATTACTTAGACTGCGTACACAGCTGTGTGGCAGTGCACAAAGGCCTGGTCCAAGGTCCAGCACAGGACAAAATAACTCATAGTCCAACCAGACTTTAGCCACAGTAAACATAACACCACAAAGGGCTGTGTACTCGCTTCTAATAAAGTCACATGGGTCATATCATATACTGCTTGTGGCTGTTGCATGTGATATCACTTGGCAGCCATTACTGTAGCAATGGTGGTGTGTTTTGTTTTGCTGTTTGCAGTGTTTTCAGTAGGGATGGAACCCAGAACTGCACACACTCAGGAAGAGACCTCTACTGCTGAGTTGCATCCCATTTTAGTGTCTCACTGAGTTGCTGAGGCTACTTTTCTGCCTCAGCCTCACAAGAAATTGGAATTACAGGTGCACCGCCACACCTGGCTGCTTTTTAAAAGAAGCCATCTGCTTATACTACACCAGATGATTATACGTCAAAATCTGTGATATCCCCCCACACCATTAATTTCTCATTTAACATACTAATGAATACTTTTCTCGGTTTGAATGACACAGAAGGACTAACATTCAAACAGCTCTTCCCAATTTTCTTATTTATCACAGGAAGGGTGTATTTGCCTACAATGATGTATATAATCGAGAATAAGTACTCTAAAGGAAAATAACAAAGAGGAAAATGACAAAACAAAACAAAACAACTTTTCAGACAATAAGCTGACCCTAGACTCAAATCTAGACACAAAGCTCTCTCGTTATATTTAGAAAATGTAACACATTCAAACAGCGAATGACCTTGACCTTACCTTCCTGTTACAGAAGAAACTAAGTGGAAATAATTTTTCAGGGTGTAACCACACAGGAGGCAGCCCACCACCAGTCACCTCAGAGACCCCTACTTTGGACAGTCAGAGGATTCTTGGGAACTGGGTTCCAGGAAGAGGGGACGGTGTAACAAACACCTTCCTCCCTAGCATTGTGCATCCTGTCTAGGACCACCAGGACTCTTGGTGACATTACCATTATCAAGCTGCCTAAGACAACCGGAACTCTTGGTGGCATTACCATTATCAAGGCAACAGTTTCCCAAGAAATATATCCAAGCTTAAATGTAGCCTATTACTGATGAGAAATGCTGAAAACCTCCAGAACAAGCCTGATGTACTTCAGGATTCTCTACCTCTGCTCTGTGCCAAGTGAAGACTGTCAATGAGTAAGTAAATGCAGACATGAAGTTACCCCCAGACAGATAAGACACATCAACCAGGAGCTCATAGCATTCAGGCCCCAGGACCTGCCATCCCAAGCAAAATCTTTGCATGGCATCGGAAACTATAAACTAGGTTAGAAAACAAAGGAACAAACAAACAAAAAGGAAACAAAGACCCTGTTAGAAAATGGCCAGAAATGGGAAGGAGGAGGTATTTCTCTGAAGGAAGAAGTCAGAGGTCCATTAGCACAGGAAAAAGGCTCAACACTGGTAGCCAGGAAGGAAATGCAAATCAGACTCCACCTCACACCAGGAGTACCAGGCTGGAACAAAAGAGAGGACAAGTGTCAAATGTCTCAAGGATGTAGAGAATTTCAAATCTAAAGACACTGCTTGGGGAATGTCAGATTGTTCTGCCACTTTGGAAAAGAGCTGGCCACTCTCATTCTAACACTGGACATGCATGCCCACATAGATGTGTCCAGAAACACTAGAGCAGAGCTATACACCACACCCACTAAAAAGCCTGTCAACTGAGTCTGGCGTTTCACACTAGTACAGTGTCACGGAGCAGGAGTGAACAGTGGCGTGCACACTTGGATATACCAGGCACTACTCAGAGCTGTGTTAAGACAGCCACATGGGCTGGAGAGGTGGCTCAGAGGTTAAGAGTCCTGAGTTCAATGTCTAGCAACCATATGGTGGCTTACAACCATCTATAATGAGATCTGATGCCCTCTTCTTGGGTGCAGATGTACATGCAGGCAGAACACTGTATGCATAATAAATAAATCTTAAAAAGAAAAAGACAGCCATTCGCAGAAAGATCACAGTAAAAAGCCCACAACAGGCAAACCACAGTGGGGGCACAAGACACAATGGTTGCCAGGACAAAGACAGAAGGATAAAGCAGACAGGTATCTTTCTGAGTAAATGACAATGCTCTAGAATTGATTTTGGTGACAGGTGCACAGCTCAGAGTGCAAATACTTTTTAGTTTTTCCTTTGGGAAGTGTCTCACCACCTGGTGCTGGGTATTCTTCACCTGATGGTCCTCGTGCCTCATCTGTGATTTTGAACTGCAATTACAGAGCACAGTTAGTGCTATATACTTCAAATGGACAAACTGTATGAGGTGTCACTTCTAGCTCAAATAAGTTGTCCAAAAATTCAGTATGAAGCCAACACACATTCTGCAGACCTGGCTTCCCTATGTACAGAATGTGGGGCTTTGAGACCTCATGAACAAAGTCCTCAAATGTTCAGCCCTCCTTTGGAAAAGAACCCGAAGAGTAGGAAACAACTTGGGAAAGTACCCAATGCCCTGCCATGTACCTCCTTCATTCCCACGGTATAAAGGGGACTTACAACTGCTCCTCTAAGGGCCAGGGGACCAGCTTGACCACGCAGTGTCCTTGAGACCAGGCGAACCAGGAACCATCTGGGGAGAAGGCCACACTCCAGGTTTCACAACTTGACTTCCAATCAAACTGGTGGGGGCGCCCAGGCTTGAGTTCAGCCAGCAGCAGTGGTTCCTCTGGGGAAGGAGATAGCATATTTCAGCCTGACCACCAGACTAGGGAAGCTGCTGCCTGCCCAAGACTCTGTGGAAGAGAGTTGTCGTGTAAATGACCTAGGGCAGTAACAGTAGCCACAGGCTACATTCCACGGTGGTTACTCAGTGGCAGCCCTCCCCACTGGGTGACTCAGAGTAATCTCGGTGTGGTGGACCTGGTGAATGAGGCCTCCTTTTCCTGTGACTGCCTAAGCAGGAAGAAAGTGAGAGGCAACTGTGTCTGGACTCCAGCCAATGAGTACACTTGAGATCCCCTCAAAAGGAACCGATGCCTTCAATTCAAGGGTTCCTTCCCACTACCAGAACCTTCACTCCTTTTAGGGCAGACTTACTTGCTCCACCTCCTCCTCCTCCCATGTCCCGAGTCCTGCTTTAACCTACTCTAAGTGACTACTAATTCATTCTATTGCCCCCAGGGATCCCGCCAAAGCTGAAGACACACAACAAATATATTCCAATGCTCCCAACTGCCCCAGCCCAGGTCTGCCACCCGCCCCTGCATTAACCCCCCATCAGGCCACTTCCTATGTGTTCTCTTGCCCTGCAGGGTCCAAGCCCCTTTCCCATTCACACCCTGTTCATTTTCTGCTTCTAAGAGTGGAAACCAGGTCTACTGACAGGCAGCACCCCAACCTCCTACTATCAAAACAGAAGCCAAAATCTACTTTATGGTCTTGTAGACCAGCACTTAAGCATTTTCCACACCACTGAGATGACTGTTCCTCCCTCTCCGAGAGCTCCTTCCATTTCCTAAGAGTAGGCAGTGCTTGTTCAACCCAACCACAGTTCCTCTGGAGTTCTCTATTCCAGTGAAGAAACACCATGACCGACTTGTAAGTCAGAGGCCCGAAGAATGAGGTTTTTAACCACTGTAACTACCTTCTGTGCACATCTCACTTTAGTAATTCTGGAATTTGATGCTTTTGTGGATGTTAATAAATAGAAAAGAACATGATTTTTAAAAGTTATTTTATGTGTATGAGTATTTTGCCTGCATATATGTTGGTTCCATATGTATACAGAGTCCTCAAAGGCAAGAAAAGGGAGTTGGGTCCCCTGGAACTTACACATGGTTAAACCATGTGGGTGCTGGGAATTGAACCTGGGTGCTCCAAAAGAGTAGTGAGTGCTCTTAACAACCAAGCTCCCTCTCCAGAGTAATTTAAATAAGCTATATTTCAAAACCTGCTTTTATGTGTTTTCTTACATTTGGACCTCAAAGAAATCAACATATACCTTACATTGGGGAGTTTTTCCTAGTCAGAGGAACAGCATCTTTTCTTGGTGCATACAGGCTAATGGAATCCATGGTTAGCATGATATTGGTGACATAGAAAGTAATGCTATGTATATAATAGGAAAATACATAGATTGTGTATGTGTGGCACACACATAAATGCCATGGGCTTGTGTAGCAGCAGGTCAGAGGGCAATTTTCAGGAGCCAGTTCTCTCCTTCCACTATGGATTTGAGGGATTAAACTGATTTTTGTACCAACTGCTTTTAAAAAACCCACTGAGACATCTCACTGAACCAATAGATACATCGTTTCATAAAATATGTATGTTGCTAAAAATTCAATCTTCAAATTGATTTTTAATGCATCATATCTTGGTTTTATAGAGAGCATTTATTACTTGAGGTTCTGTGTGGAGATACAGGTTTTCATACGTCAGGTCTAAACTGCTGTATACACAGACTCAGACCACTCTTCCCAGAGACTGTGTGTGCTTGTATCTGGAATGCTCTCGTGTATGCAACCACATGACTGCATGGACATTATTTTCTGGATATGAACAGGTTCTGGCCTCAGTGTCAACAGTGATGAGGCTGAGAAAACTGCATCCATCCGGATACTATTTGCACCTGACTCACTTCCTCCCGTACACATACATCACCCACTCTTTTGATAAGATGGCACTCCACAGAACATAAAAGGGCTCAGCTTCCATTTCTTTTACTGTCCAAGCCAAATTCTCTCTAAAGTTCAATCAAGTCTGTCTCCAAAAGCCTCAGCAAAGCTTCCTTTCCATCTCAACGGCTACTACTTGGATCTCTACAGATCCTGCCTGCTGCCTGGTCCAATAGGCAGTCTTTTAGCTGTTTTCTGGGTTCTGCTCTAGCTCCCAACCATCCATTCTCCTTTATTCCTAGCTTGTCATTTCACTGGCCTTTATCCTGTCCCCAACTCCCTCATTACCACGCGCTGCCTCCATTTCACACCCAGACTTTTGCCTTTCCTCTCCCTGCCTTCTCCCATCTAACTATGCTTAGTTCCAACCTCTGGACTTTGCACCCTGTTCACCACACAGGAATCCCTGCCCATGGATGCATCTCATCTTCATTGTGGCTGATTCAAAGGACAACTCCTTCAGACCTCTAATCCAGCACCTTCACAGAGCTCACTAATTCCTTTGTGAGTTCATCACTACGGAGGTCACTACCCAGCCCCAGCACTAGGTCTGCCCAAGCAGCAAACCTTATATGCTTGTTCTCAGTGCCGACAGTCAGGCTACCAGGTAATGAAGACATTCTGATACCTCCTTAAATATAGAGGAAACGGAGCCCCTGGAATACTTAGATGCTTGTGCATATGAAATTCTTCTTAAACCCTAGGCTTGCCTAGAATTCATACTCTATTTCAGGGATTGGGGGGGGGGGGCAGTGTTCATCTCTTGCTATTTCAGGTCAGGAATCTAGAATCTAAAAGAAGAAACTAGTGGCTGTCTCTTGAAGTCTGGTCCCAAACTAAACTTGGCTACTGGAAAACAAAGCCATAATTAGTATAGAGGTTGAAAACAAAACAGACCTGGGAAGATCCAGTTTCACCTGAGACTATACTGGCATCAGGCTGGATCAGGGCTTTGTTACATTGATATGCAGTGCATACTTACTAGATACCATGTGACACACTGGTCCACTGAGATACAGGGAGTAGAGGGCTCAGTCAAGCTAATGAGCAAACATATGCACTCCTTCGCATTCTTAGCATTTTTTTTCAGTGCAGACTCTCTTGAAAAATCTGTCAGCAGTTTTCAAGTGTATAACTGTTCTTAGCTGTAGTCATCATCAAATGCTGCAAACTTTGAGCAGCATTTCTCTAACCCTACCCCCTTCCAGGTTTTCCAACTAAACAAGGAATTTGTACACACAGTCAGGCAGACTGGAAAGACAATTAGCAATAGCCTCTTCCTCACAAGGAGCTTCAATTTAACAGAGGTGGAGCCAGGAATCTGGCTGGCAGCAAGCTTGATGAGCCTATACCTGCCTTGGGATCTTTGCATTGCTAGGCTCTTCTATCAGCTTGGATAGTTCTGATTGGCTGCTCCATCATATAAGCAGGGCTCTGTGTCACCTTCTCGGTGACATTTCTGATTCTCCAAGGTGACTAACTACTCTCCTTCAGATTTAGCCATTTAGTTTTCTTTACACTAGGGGTTTCTGGGTTGCATTTGTGGTTTGCATGCATTTGTGGTCTTCCTCAATCCACCTTGCCTATCACCAGTCACAAGCAGCCGCTGACCCCTTACTGTGTGGCAGGTCTATTAAGAATATAATACATGGAGCTGGAGAGATGGCTTGGCAGTTAAGCAGAGGACCTGCGTTTGATTTCCGGCACCCAAACGGTAGCTCACAATTACGTGTAACTCCTGTTCCAGGGGATCTGACGCCTTCTAGCCTCCTCAGGCACCAGGCACATGAGTGGTACACAGACATACACTCAGGCCAAACACTCATACAAAAAAAAAAAAAAACTAAGAAGTTTTTAGAAAGAATAAAATACACAGCAGACTGTAAAACCTTAGTGGTAGCGATGTCTCAGCTGTTAAAGAGTATGGCGGCTCACAGCTATCTGTAACTTGGTCCAGAGGATTGACGCCCTCTTCTGACCCCGCCAGGCACTGCATGCACGGCGTGATGCAAACATACAGTTAAAACACCCACACAGAAAAATTCTTAAGCCTCCAAAACATTCCTATAATTGTTTGATCACACTTGAATGAATCAACTTGAAATATTTCACATGTTACTCTTAAAGATAGCTTTTTAATTTCAACTCCTTTTTTAATGTGTCTACTACATTTAAATTGCATATTGCTATTATATTTCCGTGGGTCAGCAATGACCTATAGGGCACCTGGCACATGGCAGATACTCAATAAATATATGCTGAATGAATAAATTACTTCTAACCACTGTTCTACTGTTTTCTATTGTAAACACTTTACAAGAGACAGTATTCGGTTTGAAAACGGGGTTAAACTCTGGCCTGGTGTCCAGCCTTTTTAACAGTAGCTTGGCAGATCTCACCAGCCCTGCCCACACCCCTACAACACCGCTGTCAATCACTAGGAAAAAAACTGCACTGAAACAGATTCCGGTTAAAAAAAGCCGTCTGCTCACAGAATGCTTTGAGATTTAACTATAAGGCATCAATGGAAATGAGATCGGAAGCTATAAAAAGATTCACCAAAGAAAACAGTAGGGGCCATTTAAACTGAATTCGATGGGGAAGATACTGAAAGGCTTTCATCTAGATGGAAACCGGGAGAAGAGCTGCCTCCACACCTTTCCCTGAAAGCTTGGCTCCTGCAAACAAAGAAATGTCATTTCCTAAATGCAAAGGGGACACCACCCCAGGGAATACCCGCCTTGCAAACAACCCATCCAGCACTGGAAGCCCTCGGGTGCATCCGACTCCTCCAGACCTAGGTGAAGCTTCCACTTCGCTGGAACAAGTCTGAGCCCTAGGCCCTAACTCCCGGGATTTCCCAACGGAAACTGCTTTTAAGCTCGGGTATTTGGGGATCCTGGAGTCTGGCAGTAGCGACCTCCAACCCACGCCACTATTCTGTGGGCTGGATGCAGGGCCAAGGGCCCTTTAGGGAAAAGCCCCCGGGAAAGAAGGGGCTGCAGGTCTAGCCATCGCTAGCATCAATGCGGTTTCTAGTCGGCCAGGAAGTTCATCCCTTGCTCGCACTTCCAGCTTTCGTGGTGACAGCTGTGGACAAGGGCAGGACCAGGACTGGACCTCACCCACCAGGGTGTCGGGTCCTACGTGTCACCGCGGGGCAGCGTCCCGGGCCCCACCCGGTTCCCAGGCACCCACCCAGCGGCCGCTGCAACTACGGAGCCGCGGTGGACGCTGAGGCCGGCAGCCCCGCCATGGCGCAGGCGACCCGGGCCCGGCGCCCTCGCCGTGGGCTCGCGGAATGCGGCCGGCCGCCCTCTCCGGTCCCCGCGGCCGCCGCTGACAGCGAAAGTGAAACAAAGCTGCGCTCCCGCCTCGGTCCCCGCCCCGCCGCGGCCGCACTCACCTCCGGCCTCCATGAGGACGCGCGGCCCGCGCCAGGCGGCGGGCGCCTCAGCCCCCAGGGCCGCGGGCCTTCATTCCGCGCCCGCGCCGCCCAGCGGCCGCTGCAACTACGGAGCCGCGGTGGACGCTGAA